CTATGCATCCCTTTTTAGTATTGTAAGGGTTAGAGATATTGATATCACACAGTGGAAAGAAATTTGGCAACTTTATACAGTCGCTGTTTAAAATTGTCTACTTTTGTTCTCTGTGAATCTAAGATTACTGCCATAGCTATTGGTACAGAAAATGTGCAATATCATCGCCATACCTGATTAAATCAAGGAAGGCATCTGCTGCTGTCACTTGCACAATTTTGCCTTCTCTGTGCATGTTTTCCTTCGTACCTTTCCCAGGGTGGATGATGACCACAATGATTATGCCAATCAGTACAGCAATGATTGTAGTGCTCATGTAGTAGACTACAGCTCGGACTCCCATCTTCCCTGAGGCTTTGCTATCCAGGGCAGCAATTCCTAGTAAATTGAAGCACAGCAACATTCACCTGATACAGTTTTGAATAAAGAGGATGAACTAAGCATGATGAAAATAGTTCTGTGGGAAGAGTTTCGATGACCACACTTAAAGCTACCCCAGGCAAGACATCCCTCTTTTGCAGCAGATACTGCCAGTGTCTTCCCATCCCACCCCTAGTTATATCATTTTCTATTTAAACAGCTTTACTTCATTAAAAGTAAAGATTATTGGTCTGATGCAGCGTGGCACTCCCTATATTCCAGTGAGACAATTCATGGTTTAGGATTAATAATCTGAAAAATGTGCTGCACGTAATTTGTAATTGTAAAATAGAAAAGGAGAGTACTCTGAAGTAATGTTGATGATGTTTGCAACAATTAACATGTATGAAGAGTTTTCTTTAATCCCCAGTGGTCAACCTTAGATTAACTCTGTCCCAAACTAAGAGAGTTCTAAACAGATTAAATGGTACTAACTTGTTCCAGAAAATCCTTACCATTGCATGAATAAGCCTTTCGTAAACTTTGCAGAACTTGCAACATTAAACCTAATTCTTGGCTTTATTTGGATCCACTATGAACATTAGGGTGCTCCCTGTAGCATCTTCCAGAGTGTTTTTTTCCATCAGATTGCACTGATGAATGGCTGCAATGTGCTTTTTAATAGAAGGTGCAGTTCTGCCAGGGAAAGAGTTCTGAGTCTCTGAGAAGCAATATCTCATGAGGGCTGTCAGAAATAGAAATACTCTTTCTTTTTCCAGCTGATGCAGATAAGTCTGATAGTTCTTCTCCTTAAAATGTGCCACCACTCCTTCTCCTTGATATTTGCCTGTATTCCATCTGGAGGGCTGTGCTATCTACCTCAAAGCAGTGCTCATGCTTCTTGTTGCAATAAGGCTTTCAAAGTGCAGAATGAAAAAAGGGATTAGAAAAGGATCTTTCAGCTTTATTATCTCCTCCTGTATGAAATTGCCTAATCCATACTTCCAAAGACTGCCTACATATTTATGTGGAGGCCACCTTTGAACATATAAAATATAAAAAGTTGACCAACTTCTGCTCTGGGTGTCCGTCTCACAGGCAAAAGTATTTAAAATAAGGTAAGAGGACTGCAGGAATGTAAATAATATGGAAATTCGAATCATGACCCGGCAAAACTAAATGTTTTTTAAATTACTGTAGATATGTAAGACTTCTGTCTGTCTTCTAAAGGAGGAGATACATTTTTTTTGAAGCTACAGTGAAAGCACTCTAGTCCCTGATGTAGCTGAGATCAAGGATGTGTCCCAGGCTCTGATTAAATCTTCAAAGTATAAAGCCAAGCACATGCTTCATACTTACCCTTTCAGTTCAGCTTTTTTCATTTTCTGCCCTTTTGGCAGAAACCATTAGAGCCAGTAAGATTTTACCCACAAAAGGAATTGCAAAGGGACATCACTAGATTCACACACTGAACTGCTCGGTTTATGTGTGTGCCATTGTAGTGGAAGAACAAAGTGTTACTGGTACAGAAAGAAACTGAACATGGAAATCCAACATTTGAAGCATTTGATCCTTCATTTCTCTACTTAGCTTCTCTATCTACAAAACTGGATTACTATGTTCATGGTAAGTTTACATTTATGATTTAAAATGCTGTGTGGAAAATGGTAAACACTAGCAAGTTACAAATAGCTTTTTAAACTTTACAAACGAGAAGTCATGTAACCCTCTTATTTGTGGGTAGAAGATTAATTTTTTTTAGAGTCCTCAAGTAATGCAAATATGTAATAATGAAAATGCTGTAAGCCAATACAGAAAGAAATAAATACAAGAAATACAATACAATACAAGAAATAAAGTTAATAATTTTTGGAGATTTTCACATCTGCTATCGAACTGCACAGCATTTTTAACAGACAGCAAATTTTATTTTTAAAGTATTAATATGAAATTTAAAATAAAATACAACTTACTAAGTGAAAAATTAATGTTTGCACACTAGTCCAGTCAATTTTATTTTTAAAATATTTTAATTGCATTTTTTCCCTCTGTTTTTACTTTTTCTTTCTAAAATAGCAACAATGGTCTATCTATTTCTCATTTTGGATAAGACCATTTTGAAACTTGTTTTACAACCTGAGCACAAAACGTTAACCTGTACAGTTTAGTAGGAGTGTTTGGAAATGCAGAGATTTTGGATCAGTCATTTCCCATTATCCTGCCCTTATAGATAAGAGATTCAGGACCAGAGGTTGAGCACTGTCATTCTTAGAGGATTTGCAGACACACCTGCCTGTGCTTTAAACAAGCCTGACTTTTTTTTTTAACTTCACCTTTACAGTAGGTTGAGCCTCTTATGCTCCAAAAATCACCAGGAGTCGGTGTAGGGCATACCTTACCAGTAAAGATTGCTGTTTTGAAGGATTACATCTTTTGATCCTACTTTTTTCTTGGGCTGATTTAGGGGTGAACCATGTGAAAGAGTGGTGAAAGTATGTCAGGGAGCAAGAGTCTTCTCTGTAAGCTGCTTTCCAGCCTGGTTTCCTGGGGTGCACTCTGGCTGGGACTGAAGGCTCCCTATTTTAGCTTGTTTAGTCTCTCTCCAGCTCCTGCTATCATATGATTTATTTCTCATCTCGGATATGGGGAACAGCAATTCCTCTCTTGTTGGGCTGTAAGTGCTGGGGGCAGATGCAGCAGAAGGCATTCAAAGCAGAGGGGTGGCAGGCCTGAGTGTGAGCAGGAGCTGCATGGGGAGGAAGCAAGTGCTCACCTCTGAGAAACCTTACTGGGCAGTCTCCCCTCCCTCTGCAGTCAATGGGAACTCAGCAAACTGCAGAAGTTTCCAGCACACCAGCAACAACAATTGTCCGAAATAATATTTAAAATCTGTTTTTTAAAATACGGGAAAATGAAAGGGGTTGTTTTCTTTGCATTTTAAGATGTTGACAAGACTTCTTGGAGCTGAATGGGGCTCTGGAAAGGTCCCCAGAGCTTTCATGTGTCACAAAGCATTGTGTCCTCAGCGTGTCTTTTCACAGTCAGCCAGCAAAACCCCCATTGTCCCGGGGGAGATGTATGTGCCCCTTTCATCCCTCTGCTGCTCTCTCCTCCACACGCTGCTGGCTCCAGCACCTCTGCCTCCTCTCTTCCTCTCCTCCCTTCCCCAGGGGGCCTGGGAAACTCTGCTGTGCCACCAGTCCCCGGCACAGGGATGCCTTGGGGTTGTCAAGGCGATCTGGAGCAGAGCCCCTGTCATTCCTCCCAGCGTGTGCGCTCACACAACACGAATGGGAATGATTTTTTAAGTACTGGTGGGGAAGCTGGGGAGAGGGAAGGGAAGAAAAGAAAGAAAGGGGTCTGCAGAAGTCTGTAAAAACTGCAAAACCCCCCAGCCTTCATGCCTGTCTTCCTTCACCTACCCCTCTCTTGAGAAGTAGCACTGTGTATGAAATAAAGACATGAGAAGTTCTCCAGAGTGTCACAAAGCAAAGCACTATTTTGTTCTTCAATAAAGATGTTTGAGAAGCAATGAAAATATTTTAGAATATAGTAAAGGCAAGGAGAAGGTAAATATATAATTACAAGAGGAGAAAAGGAGAGAAAAAACGCAGAGTGAAGGAGAAAAAAATCGACTTAGGACGACTCTAACCATTCCAAATTATTAATCTGATAGTTTTGATTACTCACCTGACTTGATCACTGTTCTGTAAATTGGCATGAACTATTGATTCTATGAATTGTCATGAATAGCTACTATATTATGAATAGCTACAATATTATGAATAGTTTTATGTCAATTATATTTGTTTGTATTGTTCTTATGATTTTATATTATAAAGAATTCTAGAATTTACCAAATCCTGAGTTGCTGCTATGTTTAATTTTGTAGATATTGAAAGCATGCTGCACATAATCTGTGTGTAATCTTGGATTACAGCAGGGTGCACTAATGCAGAGGGATGATACTGTACTCCTGGAAGATCAAGCATAAAATACACTAAGCATGTTTTCTTTATATAAACCAAACAGCTTTGAATCTGCTTGTTCAAGAATAAATTCTAAGGAATTGTTTTAAAAGCTGAAATGTACAACCTATGCTAAAAGTCCTATAGCTTCGGAATACTTTCTCCCTTTAATTAGCACAATAGAATCAATGCAATAAACTGATTTTTGAAGAATAGTCCAATGTCCTCAATGAACTATTTCAGTCTGAGATTTGAGTTTATGCCTAACTTTCCCTATTATGCCACTTGAAAGTTTCTACCTATAGTCTTTTCTCTTTTTCTTTTCTTTTCT